AGAGCAAGATAATGATTTTGATGATTGCCAGAGAAAAGTAGCTGAAATAAGAAAACTTCTTATTAAGTTTAAGTTTTCACATAAAGTCAGAGAGGGGTCTCCTGATTATCATGAATTCGCCAGATTTTTGTAGCTTAATGATTAACTTTAAACACCTAAGAATATATGCTTGCAATGTTGGTGCTTTGTTAATCTGACCTAGACTATGGATCACATAAATTTACTAAAGCATATAACTTGCAAGAGACAATGAAAAGATTATTGTTAATGATGATCTTACTTTGACTTTGGTTACTCCCCCTACTATTCCATAAAGTATGGATTAGATTAATAATGAAACTGTAAAGGGTCCAACTACAGTCCAAGATTATATGAATCAAAGAACCAATAATCTAAACAGAGGAGATAGAATGGACGAGGAATTAAAGTTATTTAGGTAGCATATAGGAGTAGGAGCAAATACTCTAAGAGACGAAGACTAATAATCAGCTCTAGGTTCTTTGTTACTTGATGAAAAAGATGCTCACAAACTGCCACCAAATATGCCAAATTTCGATCCAACTCTTGACTTGAATAGGAAAAAGTAATATATTGGCCCACCTTGCCCTCCTGGACATCCTTACGATCCTTTTGGAGAGGATAGAGAATATTTTAAAGAGAGAGTTGAAGGTGCAGCCTTATTTGCCCCTCCGGAAGAAAGAGATCCACATTTCTTTGAAAATTTCGGAAGAGATGAGAAATTCCTGAAAGAAGCTAAAGCACTTTTGGATCTTGGTGAGACAAATGGCAATCTGGAAATGATCAGATTGAACAAGAAATTCGATATATTTCTGAAAAGATTTATGAAGGTAGAAGAGGATATTAAGGAAATAAAAAATAACTTCTTCCGTGTGATGCACTGCGCTTTTGCCAAGTATGAAGAAGGATTCAAGAGAAAGAATGAATATCTTGAAAGACGTCGAGTTAGAAAGAGAGAAGAAATTGAGAGGGGAGTTCAGAGAGAACTCGAAAAGAGAAAGATCTAGGTATTGGCAGATGAAGCAGCTAAAACTGACTTAACTCCTGAAGGCTCAGAAGATGAAGAAGAGGTTGAGAATGTGAATATGGATGAAAAGAAGTTCATGAGAAAAATGGAGGAACAAGACAAAAGGGAGTAGGAAGTTTTTGATGAATAGGAAAAATAAGATCGTGAAAAGAAGCGACTTAAGGCGCAACTGGCTAAGACAAAGCACTTACTAGAGATGAATGAAAGAGGTGTACCACTGCCTATTCCAGAACCCAAAAAGAAAAAGAAGGATAAAAAGAAGAAGTCGAAAAAGGACAAGAGAAGGCTGAAAGAATTAAAGCTTCAGCCATCAATCCCTAATCTCCCCAGTAGATCAAGCAGTAGAATTAACAGATAGAGCAGCGAAAGCAATGGAAGTTTGAACTGCAGCGAATTGGCATCAATAAACTCATCAGATAGCTTTAACTCGAAATCAAATAGCAATCTCATTAGTACAAAAACTTCTAAATGATAATAAGTATTGATTATGAAATTTAATTTCTTAAAGTTTTTTCAACGAATTTACACTCCTAGAATCGGGGTTTTGGGGTTTTGGGG